TTTAGGAACCAGGGGGCCCGAATGTGTCCGTATCCATCGCCTGCCGAAATCCCCAAGATCGATCCTCCAAGCGGTCGGTATCGATGAGTGCCCACCTCGGAACCCCGTCTGAGACAGAACTGCTGCGGACAGAGGAAGAATTGTGATGTGAAGTGAGGACCATCTTCGCGGCGGCCATATAGGCTTACCCCTGCCACCGCACATGCTTGCTCCCTGGCCGCCGGCCTCATCCCCAGGGGACTGGGATTGGAGGTCACAGTGCAGATTGACCGCGAGGCCAAAAAATATAGGAGATCACCTGGCTCCGCATCCCGCCTGAAGCAGTGCAGCTGCGGACAAAGAAAGGATGGGGAGGCGAGGTGAGGACGGCTAGCGACAGAGGTTACACTGGCGGTCGGCGAGGTAGCTTGAACAATCGTCTGGCAAGCATGCTCGATCTCGTACACGACCCCAAACAACCATGCCATGAGACAGCTGTAGTGCAGCATAGATGTGATGACATGAGATGGCATGATAGCCCATGCTATGGTATGATATGACATGATGTGGCACGAAATTGCATGATTACTTGATCACGCGTTGAGTCTGGTCAAATACAACAGTCGACTTTCCAGAGATTGGGCAGATCAGCTCAACATTGAAAAGATCTGCTCGAACACTGAGTCTGGCGACCCTCAGAACTGTTCGACCTCTGCCTACTCCTCCCGCTTCTACTGCTGCACCTCATGCACCTCCTTTTACCCCCCGCCCCCCCCCGCGCCTCTTCATCCCCAGATTCTTGCACCTCCTCCCCTCCGCTTTCCTCTCCCTCGCCAATTTCTTGTCGTCGGTTTGGCGAAATGCGTGGCAGGAAGGGAGCGCGGTGCACATCGCGCGCGACAGGGCGAAATGTCGCTCTCGCTTCGGCGCCGCGCGCATGTTTGCTGAAAGTTGCGCTCCCGCTGGGGCGCGGCGCACATATTTCGCTCGCCACTTCGTCGAGCACCTTGGGCCCCTGTGGCCTCCCAGGGTCTCCTGGAACATCCTGGGGCTTTCCGGGGCTTCCCCAGGGACTCGTGGATCCTCCTGG